GGTCAGTGTACGTATGTACTGTATGTACAAATAAAATTGTAAATAAATAAATTATAAATTTAGGTTCGTGGCATCAAATATAATTTATGGTAACCACTTTGCACTGAATGTACTATTTTACTTAGTTTATTTGTAGCAAAATATTCAAAATATTAAAGAGTAAAAACATTGATTCTTTAAATAATTTTACTCCAGTCACCAATGTTTTTAATCAATTGTATATGATTGATTCAGCGAAACGTTTTAGCTTGTCACTATAAGTTATGAATATAGGATTGGTGTTAAAAAGGATAGATTTGGCATTTATTCATCTTCAAAAAAATTGCGGATATAGATGATTCTAACAAATGTATCAAGTTATTAGGAATTGGAGTTGAAATGGATAAGTAAAACATTCTATATACTGAAATTGGCTGAAGTAAGCGATTAGAAATGAGTGAGTTGAACAATTATTAAATTTAATGCACACTTTCTATTTATTGCAAAACACCAACATGTATTTACACAATCCTATACATCTGTACATTACGTTTTATATATCTTTGGAACTTTACAGAGAATTATTAAAACTTTTATAGTACACTCTCGCTTTTTAAGTCTATAATCAATGCTTCCCTATAAAATTTTATTCACAGATTGTGCATTCGTTCCATTCTACATATAAAAAGCATTTATCACAGATAGAATTACATATCAGAAAATAAAGGCTGATTCAATTATTGAATTTTAGAATAATTTATTCTTATTATATTGAATATTTAATTATTTGCGCGTAATAACGCATATGATCGCTATTTTAAATTTCCATTTTTTTAAAATTGCATATTTGACTCAACATAACGCCCATGATAATGCATTCTTTAGGCATGTTGGATATAATGAATCTATATATCACCTGAGCCTATTGAATTGGTATAACGGTATTTACATATAATGAATATTCATATAGATAGATAAACTATTATAACAAGTTTGTACTGTACACTATAAAATTACATTAGTTACTGCTAAGAATAAATAACAACATGATTCTAATAGTTAACATTTGAAATCACATAAAATTTTGGATAAATCTTTTATAGATGGATAAATATAATAATTGTAAAGGATATATATCTTTTTATTTTACAGATTTAATTTAGTTGAGAAAAGATAACAAAGAAAGAGCAATAAAAAAATTATTTATTCATAATATTGATAAAGCTACTGTGCTATTCAATGAATTGATTAATGTAGAACTTTTTAACGTTAAGATTTTTTATTAATCTGAAATATTTCATATTCATCCACTGAAAAACTTGATATTCCATTACTATTAAATGTAGATGCATCTCTAATTCGTTTTTCATATGACTTTTGATAACAATCCCATTTTTTATCTTGCATAATTAAATCATGACATTGACCAAAAATTGGGCCATAGTTATTATGGCAGTAGATTGAATATTCTGGTTCTATTACATGACTTAAAATAGAATTTTGAATGGTACCATTTTTCAATGAAAAAATAAAGCTATCATTGCAATGCTTATTAAAGAATCCATCTTTAACTGGTTTATCCCATCCGATAGGATTATATCCACCAAGAATTTCATCAGTACCTTTAACTTTCATAACTACTACAAGATTTGTTTGCTTATCACACAATTTCCAAAATGAATCTACTGTAAAACCATCTCTAGATCCGCGAAGAAGTAATTTGAACTCATATAGATTGTCCGCTACCGAATATGCATTAGCCCTTTTATCAACCCATGAAGCAATTTCTGCTGCATGTACTTCATTGATAATTGTTGAAATTGGCTTTTTACTAATTTGAAATATTTCATAATCTTCTACTGAAAAATATGATAAATTTTTTTTACCGAATTCACTGTCAATATAGGTAGACTCATTTCTAATTGGTTTTCCATATATGACATTTTTATAACACCAACATCCTTTATCTTGATTAGGATTATTACTCATAGCAAGACAACCATAACCAAAAATTATACAGTTACAAGGATTACATTGAATTGCAGATTTAATTGCAAATTCCGTTTGATTTATACGACTTAAAATAGAATTTTGAATATTTCCATTTTTCAATGAAAAAATAAAGCTATTATCACAATCCTTAAAATGATAATCAATATTGGGTTTACACCACCCAACAGGATTATATCCACCAAGAATTTCATCTGCGCCATTGACCTTCATAACTACAACAACATTCGTTTGCTTATCACATAAATTCCAAAATGTATCTGTGGTAAAACCATCTCTAGTTCCACGAAGAAGTAATTTAAATTCGTATGGATTGTCCATTACAGAATATACATTAACTTTTCTATCAACCCATGAAGCAATTTCTGCTGTATGTGCTTCATTGATAATTGTTGAAAATGGTTCTATAATTCTAGTATCAGGTATATAAAGTGAAGATGATGTTGTAATTTTATGCGAATTTAAATATTCTTTTATATCGGAACCTGAGGAAGATGTTTCATCGTCTTTATTATTAACAATTTGTTGATTTAAAATTTCGAGAATTAAATTTGTTTCTGGACGTTTAGCGGGTTCTTTGTCCCAACATTGCTTGTAAAGTTCAATATATTGAAGTGGTGTACCATCTATAGGTTCTTCTCTTTTTTCCTGAAAGACATAAACAACAATCATCTCGTTTGTTAAACATTGGAATGGTGGGTTTCCACTTGAAATCTCCCAGAGAATTACTCCAAAGCTATATACATCAGACTTTTTATTACGCTTATATTCACGGTTAAAAAGACATTGAGGCTCAATGTATGCTGGCATTCCACAGACAATTGAGTTTGAGGTCATGGAAGTTTCATTTATCTGTTTCGACAGTCCAAAATCTGCAATTTTTGGCTGTCCATGATGAACCAAAATATTTTTTGAATGCTATAAAATAAATAGATTAGATTAAAGATCATCTGACATTCATTAATACACAAAATACAATATGCTTACAAGATCGCGGTGAATAATTTTATTATTATGTAAGAACATAAGACCAAGTACGATTTCCTTGGCGATGTGTAATTTATCTATCCATTGTAATTTTTCAAATTTTAATTTTAGGTATTCACGTAAATTTCCTTCACTAGCATGTTGTAATATCATATTATAATGTCCATTGTGATCTATATATGTATAATAAAATTCAAATTTAAAATAACTATTTTTTATTTCAACAATCAGCATATGTATATACCTTTCGTAACTCCATAGAATGAGATAATATTTTGATGATTAGACACTCTGCGTAATAGTTTAAGCTAAAAGTATATAATATTGGAAATTTAAAATATAAATTAATTGTACGCTACAATTAAATCATTTTGAATATAATATATACTTCATTAATAAATTCTTTAACGGTATTTTTGTTTAGATTTGTATTATTTATATCAACTTTAAGACATTTGAGGGCAACCGTTAATGCACAATTTTTCCATTCATGTTTAAAAACTGTTCCAAAGCCCCCAATACCGATTACTATGCCATTAGTAAATTCATTATAATCAATACAATTAATATGACCATCGGAAATTGCCTTTTCAAGCCACTCTTCTGAGATATTTGTCATTAATTTATGACTTCTCAGTTGATAGTGTACGTACGTACGTACGTACATGCAAATGCAATTGTGTGTAAATAAATTCAAATTTAGAAGTCACTGCACCCGATTATAGGTGCAGGCGTTTAAACGTCATTTGTGCAGGTAATACAAACATCCAAAAAGGAAATGGCTAATCAGAGAACAGAAAATTTGGGTATTGCGGATCGGTCCGACATAGAACCGAACACGTGCAAAAGAAAAAAAGGCGAAAATACTCAAAAACTAGTGTTTAAATTGACCTTGGTAGACTAACAAAAAATGGCGAGGATGAAACTTTACATATAAAAAACTACAACCTATCATCGAAGCTCACAACCTTAACGTCCTAATACTAAACTTTTTACAACCTTTCTGGTTCGTAAATAAGTAAAATTCGCAAGGGGGATGTTGTGAGCGTGGAAACTGATCCAGAATCGGGAAATATGTGATACAGATATCAACCAACACTAAAACTAATCTAAACAATACTCTAAACTACTAAACTCTATTGAACCCTAATGATGGTGGGCACGAAAGACTTGTCCGAGTTATTAGGGTCAAATAGAGCGGCTCTACTTCGGGATCACGGGTTTAGACTACTAACTCTATGCGAATTTGATTTATTGGGGGTAATTGAAACGAAACTTTAAAGTTAGAAATATAGGCTCTCTATGAGTCGAACTCTAATGAGTTCTATAATTCTCCCTGAGTTCCCCTTTATTGAAACGAAAAGATAGGTCTTAAATACTTTAGACCAATGCTACGTACATAGGGCTGTGTTTGCTATTTAAACTACTTTCACTATGTTTGCTATGTATAAAAAAAAAAAGGACATTTTTAACTTGTGCCAGTGGTTAAGGATAACCAGTATGCTAATATCTCAATAACGTACTAAGTAAATGGGATCGGGTACTCTAAGTAAAAATGTTCAGGGCCCCCAAAAACCTCACGAGAACTGAGATCGGGGCCTTATATCCAATAGATATCAAACTTCCATCGAATTTTCGGATTTCGTTAAAATTTTCAAAAATGCATTCAGTGATTACTGCATTTGTTGTAGGGCTGCGGTGTCTGCAGTACTGTACGTATTAAAAATTGCACTATGCCAGAAATAACATTAATCTCAAGATCGTTTTTTCAAAAAATCGGCAATGACTCAAAATTTGACCTAATGAAAAAAATTCTTTGCAAAATTATACTATATAGCTACTTTATTCCAACGCCAGTCTTACCCCCTAACTTCGTTCCAATCTCATTTTCTATTAGCGAAAATATCAACAATACGTAATATTTACTATTGGCACGTGATTTGTATCACTGGCACAAATAAGTAAATCGCGAATATCGACGCTTGCAACAATATTCTTTCGTTTACGTATTCATCATAATATTAATGTCAACTCCTATTATACTTGGTGACCTTATACTTTTTGGCACTCCCGTTAATATTTTCTGTTTTTTTAAAGAAAGAAGAACTCGTGTCACTGTCACAATCGGAACAGAGAATACCATTGCACAACTCAAGGAATTACTCAAGAAAGAGGAAAGTCCATACACTGATAATATTTGTTCCACCGACCTCACTCTATGGCATGTTAATGTTGATCCTAGTGCAATTAATACTATTGATGAAATGTTAAATAACAATAACAAATTAACATTGCCGACAAAAAAGGTTGGAGGAATTTTTTCTGACCTCAGTGGAAAAAAAATTCGTGTTGTCATCGGAATTCCTGTTTGTGAGTCATTCTTGTCTGTGCTGCTTTATAGTTTCAATAATGCTGAATGATTACTTAAGTTTATTTCAAATTAACATTATTGAAGAACAAGCTGGTAAGTATAACAAATTACGTAATCAATGCAATCTTATTTTTCTGACTTTAACAATAATATTAAATATATAAACTTATGACTTTAATTGCAGAATCTCTTAAGCGCCAATATTCGGTTAGCAACTATGATGAAGGTCAGTATTAGTCAGACGCTTGTTTCTACAGAGATATTGTATTAATATTTTCAATATTACAGAACAGTATAGAAATGTGAAGAAAATTCGAAACCACCCCTCTCCATCATCTTTTGCTCTCATCAATTATTTACATGAAAATCAAAGTCAAGAGCAAGAGTTTCTTATTGGCCGCCCTTCTGGTTGCATCGGCATACCGTTGATGTTATATAATTATGCTTTTACTTGTTTCAAAACCGACTTTAATAACGATAATCTACCTATAGATAAAGATCATTATCAATGGACCCTCAATTGCATTAATACCATGTCAAATTTTTATTCAATTGAGAAATTTCGTAAACGAGAGTTTCATGAAAGGATGCGCGAATTATTTAACAAAGATATAATGATAACTGTACTTGATGATGAATCTTCAAATGATGGAGCTTTATACTTAGATGTACATTCGTTTACTATATTATACCTCAATATTGAAATTAAAAATGAAATTGGTACTGGTAATTGTGATCCAACTACTCAAGCCGCTGCCTTTTATGCAAAGTTTTATGCCCAAAAAAAGTATGAAGAAATACTTAAAGGGTGCAACATGCCATGCTTCATTTTAGGCTTGGCTGGACCTTGGATATGTGTATTAGGAGCTGTTTATGTTTAAAAGCCACTTATCAAACCTCTAACAAGCTTTGAACCTCTTATTTTCACCAATGATCGAACCCATTTGGAGAAAATAGCACGACTTTTCATGGCTTTGCGCACGGGATGTGATAATCTGAAGAAATATTATAAATCATTATCGAAATCCGTATTAAATATTGCAGATTCTCAACAATTTTTCCCCTATATTCGTACAGCACATGGGGTTGGGGATTTTGTCTACAAGGAGAAACTTTTTGATGATCCAAACAAGCTCCTTTGGAAGGCTGAGACGAAAAGTGGTCAGACTATCATTGTTAAGTTTTCGCATATGTACAACGCTAATGCACACAATTTGTGCCATGAAATTGGAAAAGCTCCAGAATTGCTCTTTGTTTCAAAAATTAGTAATGAATTTTGTATGATAATTATGGAATACGTTAAGGGCCAGAGACTATACGATTGTGAAGACTTGGATTTTCCTACATACAAAAAAATTATCAATGACATCGAAGTTGCCATCTCGCATCTACATTCTAAAAATATAGTTTTCGCAGATCTCCGCGATTCTAACATCTTAGTTATTAAAGATGACAATAAAACTTATCACGGGATGTTGATAGATTTTGATTGGGCTGGCGAGGATAATGTGGAATGTTATCCGTCCTTCATGAATCCTAATATTAATTGGCCTTTGGGTGCTGGAGATAAGGTGAAATTAAAGAAGGAACATGATATACATTGGCTGAAAGTATTGAAAGATCGGTACCTGAAGAATGAAGATGAACCATCTAATTTTTGAAACTTGTACCTATCTTTGCTTTATTTTTCTTTTTGATACTTCGCATTAGAAAATGTTAAAGATAACTACAAATATACAAGAACATAAAGTCTCTTTCAATATTCCATAGCATTATAAATGTAGATTTTTATTGCTATTATTCATAATAAAAAGTAGTGTTCTGAACTGATGCCCTATAAACCCGCTTTTAGCCGGTTAACTTCGATTAACCGGAGAAATCTATATTTTGATATTAATATTGCATTGCGAGCTTATATACCTGTGGTGTGGCTTTGTCATGGGATTAACTTACATCAAGAGTAATGTTAATAGTAATACTCTATGTATTTGATAAGGTTTATCTATGATTGATTTTGATGGCGCTATTTAATATTGAACTAAATCTCTCATAAGGTTAACATGTTACATAAGATTCTCGGATTTTTTTTTTTTTTATAATTAATATTTATAATTTAATGGATTTGATCCTAAATAATTTAATTACACTTTAATAAACTAATAAAGGAAATGAGGAAAGGACCTCGTAAATCAAAAAAAAATAAAAAAATAAATAAATAAATAAATTTAATTACACTTTATTTTATCGAAAATTAAATTTTTCAGAGGTCAAGTCCGTGTTATAAACTTGAAAGTCCTAAGTTTAGCATTTATATGACAGAATAGCTAGAGGTTTGCGCATAAGTAATTTATTAAATACATACACTATACATTCATTAAAACACAAGATTTAGGACACATTATTTAGTTCATAGTACAATTTAATCAAAATTTTAGCTTTATAGTATTATAAGACAGTATAACTATTAGCTTTAATATAACTGATTTACTGTTTTGCTGAACCGTAATAGTAACCCGGGTGGTTCAACGGTTAACCCGGTTATTCATTGAACGATTTAGATCACTAATAAAAGGCAGTTGAAATGTAAATTTTAAAAGTAAATAAAATTATCTCTTTATCTCCTTTATTAATTCTTATTATGCTCTTTTGAATTATGAATTTATCGCCTTTAGTAAATATATCTAATCATACGAAAATCAGCAAGTACTGTCTTGAATAATTTTTAAAAATTTCTAATCTTTAAAATTTGACTATATAACATTTTTATACAAAATATAAAGACACACTCAATTTCTATAAATGACGTTAGCCACGTCTGATACTGTTGTAACCGTGGGAGACTTGGCTAACGTGAGGGCAAATTAAATAATAATAATGGGCTATTAAGGAATGTATTTATTTATTTCGTTATTTGGTCGGAACAAAAAAGAATGATCGTTCTTTATTAGTTTAGTCGTTGTATTTATACTTTTGAAATTCTAGTGGTCCGAGACCAAAATCTTGGGTCTTAACCCGATATCGGTGATCCTGGACCAAGATCTACGTCTTAGACCAATATGTAAGTCGTTATTTTAAATGCTTCAATTCTAACGTTTTTTCACTATTATTGCTGGTCAGATAACTTTATTAAGGTAAAATAAAAAATACGTGGAAATTTGTATGTTATCAATCAAACTCCATGTTAAAATGCTTGGGTATTTACTTCAAATACCTCGACTAAGTTGACCATTTATGATATTAACTATTGTATCTGTTACACGGGAAGTGTATTTAAGAGAATTTCCTGTATTTTTACGTTAATTTATTTGGAACACTGTTTTTTTATTAGCCGTTATTTAAAATACTTATTTTTATTAAATTTATTTTTTGATATAAAATTTACCTGACGACTGATATCCAACATGTCTGACGTAAGCACTGAGTGATTTTTGTGCAACTTATTCGGGCATCTCCTAATACAAATAAACAAATATTCACTCACCTCTTTAGAGGTGAGTGAATTTTGCATAATGTATTAGGAGATGACCGAATAAGTTACACGGAAATCATTCAGATTCAGTGATCACATAGGACGTGTCGGATAATATTTATATATGCAACTCTGGGTCGTTTCAATAGTATCATCTTTAAGCTCTTGATATGGAATATACGGCTTATTTCTAAGCTCCTTATCGGCTAGGTCTGCTCTTTGTATTTCTTCTTTCATTTTGTTGACTTCTGTAACATATTCTAGGATATTTCGATTAATTTCCATAAAATGTTCGTAAAGTATCATCACTGTCTGTCTGGCATTGTTTGAATAATATAGTATCAATTATTTTATGAGTATTGATTCGGGCTAAATTACCCTTCATAATAAAAAACGGTTTGTTGAAATTGTTAAAATTTCAATATTAAAAGTTATATCAAAAAATAAAATGAAACTAAACCAATTCAAATAAAATAGTTATTTGATTCGTATTTAATTTATATGATATTAAAATGTTGAAATTATTATTTAAAATGAATTTATATTTATGAGGTATGCAGTTTGTAATGTACTGACGGAATCTCACCGATTCTTTCATAAATCCTTTTAATTGCTGCTAGAAATCTAAACGAATCATTATCAAAACAATAATATGTATCTTTACAAATTTTTAATTAAATGCCTGATTTTTTTCAAGTTCCTGGAGTTGTTTATTTAGCAATAGTAATATATCTCCAGGGCAAATAAGTGATCCTCTAGTACGTATTAGTAAAGCAAAAGACAATACGTATTCCCTAAAATGTTACATTTGCCATGCATTGTTAGGTTTAAGAAGTACATTTTGCTTTATATTCTTTAAGATGTTTTCAAAATTCTTTTAATCATATAATTTATAGATATTCTTTTCTAGTAATATTTAATTTTTAAATGTCTACGCTCCGGACTTACAACTATTCCCGATACCTAGTACGTATATGATAAATTCAAAAACTAAGTCTGTTTTTTACAACGATTATACGTATAAGATTTTTTTTTGAAATTTAATTTGCGAGACAACATTTTACCTTGAATAAAAAAAATAGTATATTTTATCTGCATCAAATTGGAGAAATAAAAATTTATAGTTTCTTAAACATCTATTAATATACTAAATTAAAATATATATCAAGTAATTAATATAAAAAGATTTGACAGTTGGTGGTTGTACGAAAGATTTGTTTTAATGCTTTAATTTCGTGGCCAATTTGGTTATGCCTAAGGATCATGGAGCTCAGAGTAGTATTTTTGCAAAGAGCATCTGCTAATGCTTTTCCTCCTTCAAAACCAAGTTTATTATTGCCAAGGTTTAAAGAAATCAGAGCATTGTTTATATAAAGAGCCTCTGCTAACGCTTTTCCTTCTTTAGAGCCAAGTTCATTGTTAGAAAGGTCTATATAAGTCAAGGTGGCATTTTTATATAGTGCCATCGCTAATGCTTTTCCTCCCTCAGAACCAAGTTGATTAGAATTAAGATCTAAAAAAGTCAGAGAAGAGTTTATGCAAAGAGCTTCAGTTAATGCTTTCCCACCCTCAGAACCGAGTTGATTAGAACCAATATTTAAAGAGTTCAAAGTAGTATTTATGCAAATAGCTTCTGCCAATGCAATACTTCCTTCAAAACCAAATTGATTATTATTAAGATCTAAAGTGGTTAGAGAAGAATTTATACAAAGAGCCTTTGCTATTGCTTTCACACCTTTAGAACCGAGTTGATTACGTCCAACATTTAAGAAAATTAAAGAGTTTTTACAAAGAAGGTCAGCAAGTATTCTTCCTGCCTTATAATCAAGTTGATTATTTTTAAGATTTAAAGAAGTCAGAGAAGAATTTATACGAAGAGCCTCTGCAATTGCTAACCCACTCTCGGAACCAAGCTGGCTATATCCAATATTTAAAGAAGTTAAAGTATTTTTACAAAGAATTTTGGAAAAAAATTTTCCATCTTCAAAATCGAGAAAATTATCATCCAATTTTAAAGAAGTCAAAGAAGAGTTTTTGGAAATAGCCAGCAATATTTCGTTTCTTTCTTGAGAATTAAAATAATTACGATAAAGACTTAAGGATATAAGGGAAGTATTTTTAGAAATATTTTCGGCAAAAATTATATGATTATAAATAATTCCAGAAAATGATAAATATTTAAGTTTTCCACTTGTTCTTAGAAACATTGCAATTAAAGAACATTTAATAGCATTCATAGGCTCATTTAAAAAATGATGCCTTTCATTTTTAAGCCAATCACTAATTCCACAGCTTAAATTATTGTTAATAGATGTTATATGACTTGTGTATTCAAATAGTGGCTTTGGATTATTTGGAAGGATTATATTAAAAGGGATTAATGATGCTTGTTCTTTAGCGTTTAATGATAAAAGACATATTTTTATAAATTTCTTATCATAAAATATTGGTTCGCTCCATAATATCGGTACAATAATTCTACACCATTGACGGTTTATAAGAAGGCATGAAAATAAGCTTTTATAAAGTAAACTTCCATCGAATTTTCGGAGGTTGTTAAAAATTTCGAAAATGCATTCAGTAGGTAATGTTATCATTTTGAATGTTCTGTGTTAGTGTCGGGTATGGATTTTAAATTCCCGATTTTCCTTTGATAAACAGTATAACAAAATGCTGTGAAACATTACTACATTTGTTGCAGAGCTGCGGTGTCTGTAGTACTGTACGTATTATAAATTGCGTAATGCTAAAAGTAACATTAATATCTTAGCACAACCGTAAAATTTATATTATTTGATTCATGTGAGAAGTGAGAGGATATAAGCCGTTTATGCTCACTTCTCTGACAATATTATCTAATCAAATAATTCGAGTTACTATTTGGCAGACACAATCATACCAAACTCGTATTTGAGCTACTTATATAATATGGTTGAAAGTTGAAGTTGTCGCCACCTGAAATTACTACTTAACACATGAGGTGCTTGAAAAGTGTAAACTAGCTGTCACAGAAAACTAGATCGCATTTAAATTATTCAATAAGAACACAATTTAAAGAGTAAAAAAAATAATAATACAAATTTAAAGCATTTTGTGAATTAGTTTGGGATCAGAAGAGCGTCAATATGGAATAGATTTTTTTTAGACTGAAAACGATTTAATAATACTGTCGTTGTGTCTTCTAAAAAAAAAATAAAAATAAACAAAAAACGTGATCGATTTTGCTTTCTGATTGGATAATTAATATGCATTTTTTCAATGATATCAAATTTGCGACAAACAAATGTACTACGTAGTACAATGCTAAAGATTCTGTAAACTTTAAAATAAAGTTTTTTCTACGAAAACTTGATTGCTAATTACGATGTTTCAAAAAAACCGAATTATTTTTCTCACTTTGATTTTTTTCGTACCTCATGTACTTTCTTGGGGATTTGTAGGTAGTATTAATTATAGATGAATTGTTTTATTATTTTTTGAAAAAGATTTATATTTAAAGTTTTTGAATTTAGGACATGAAATCATAGCAGCAATAGGACAGCGATTTCTCTCACCAAAAGTTTATAAGAAAGTCCTTGAATTACTTCCAGAAGCTCATGGAAATTTATCATTGTATAATAATTTAATATAATTTAATGTGCTATTTGTCATTAATAATCAATTACTAGAATTAAAAAATTTTTTATTAATTGCAAAGTATTGCAGCATGGGCGGATCAAATTAAATATACACCAGAATACAACTTTACAGCACCAATGCACTATTTTGATACATCGCCACTAACGGATAACCCACCATCTTTTTGCGCTGTCGATTGGGCTCCAGGAAAAGTTGAATTTGATTTGATTACTGCAATTCATAATTATTCAAATAGACTTGATCCAAATTCGGATCTTAGCTTTTTGTCAAGAGCTGAAGCGCTAAAATTCTTGGTTCATTTTATCGGAGATTTACATCAACCTTTGCATAGTAAGTTACATATACTTGCATTACTTTATGTATTTACTACAGTACTCACATGATTTTTTTATATGAAGTTACAAGTAAAGATAAAGGAGGAAACGGTATACCAGGTATATTTTATCAATTTCTTTGTTTATATAGTATTTATGTAATGATATATCGGATTTAATATTTCTTTTTTTGTAAAAGTTACATTTGAAGGACACAATACGAATTTACACTCCATATGGGACACGAATATTATTTATGTATGTACATATATCAGCAAAAGTTTAACTTTTGTTTATGAAGATTTATTATTCATATTATGGCAATAATTATTTGAATGCATTGTATGGAATTTCAAACTTTGCCAATACATATGAGAGATTTGAATCGATTAACTATTGATAATTCAAATTTATTTAACATGTGCAAAATAAGTAATTTTTATTACATTTATTAAATAATTTTCTTTTTCTAACAACAGAAACGAATTCGTGAATTTAATGAAAATTCTACGTTTGACCATAATTTATCCGAGAATGATAATCGGTTTAACTCTTCTAATCCCTTATCCGAAGGCCCATCTTATGATCTATATTTAAATTACATAGTCGATTTAATGAGAACAATATGGCGCAATGAACTTTCATCATGGACAATTTGTAATGAAGATTTAAAATTATCACATGACCATCCCTCATCATATCCTAATAAATTACATTTTTCATCTGCAAATGAATCTTTTGATCATTTTTTCTTATCAATGAATCAAGAAATTTCATTCAGTGCAGCTTGTCCAGAATATTGGGTTATACCCATAAATCAATTAAATTGTCAAGTAGTTTTTAAATATGATCCTGAATCAGATTTGAGTACTGGTGAATATTATGAGAGAATTGTTGATGAGAAAGTTATTGAAAAATTATTAGCTGTTGCTGGTATCAGAATTGCTGCTGTATTAAATACTATTCTAAACTAAGAAATACGAATTATTTTTAGCTATGTTAAATATTATTCATTAAATAGCCGCTGAGTTAAATATTATTTTATAAATTATGTTAAATACTATTCTTAAATAAAAATATAAATTCTTTTATGATTTATCAATTAATCCTAAGCGAGAGAGCTTATACTAAATTTTTAATATGGTGCAAGACATCTATACTAGACACTACGTGACTTGTTTCAAACTATCATAATTTTATATACAAGAGGCTTGTAATAATAATATCCTGAGCCGTTGTATATCGGGTAACTTTGTAGAGTTCATCATGAAGAACAAAGTTAACTATAGATTTTAAAAATAGTGCCTGTGTAAAAAATTTTAGCGTTTTGAAAATTATTGTCTAGTATAAATA